GGCACCGGGTACAGGGCACCGGCACCAAGTACAGGGAACCGGCACCAGGTAGAGGGCACTGCCGCAGGGTGCCGGCTGCAGGGCACCGGCACTGGGTACAGGGCATTGGCACTGGGTACCCGGTACGGGGCACCAGCACGGTGCACCGTGCACCAGGTGCAGGGTCCTGGCATCGGCATCAGCCAGCAGGTACAAGGCCCCAGCACCGGGTACTGGTACAGGTGAGAGGGAACAGCACCAGGGAGTGACCTCCCGGCAGCGGGCACCAGTACCAGGCATTGCTCGGCAGGTACCAAGCATTGGGCAGGAGGCACTAGTCGCTGCACACCAGCCACTGGGTATTGGGGGCACTGGGTCCCAGTTAGCGGGTACTGGGTACTGGGAACCATGCACCAGGCACTGAGTACCAGGCAAATGCGCTGGCACCACACGTCGCACATCGGGCACCACGTGCCAGGTACTGGGGACTACACTGGGCAGGGGGCACCGGATCCCAGTCTTTCCCGGTGCTCCCTCTGCAAAATCCCAGCCTGCCTCCCCCTCCCGGAGCCTTTCCCAGGGCTGATGCCGGGCAGTCCTGCCCGTGGCCCTGCCTTGGCTCGGCTGCGACTGGCTGGCAGGCTGGAAATCTGGCGGGGGGAACCAGCAACCCCGCGGGCTGTGTCCCCGTCCCCATCCCCATCCTATGCCAGGGGTTGCAGCCCCTTCCCAGCACGCCCCCGGCCCCAGGCCTGTGCTTTCAAAGGCAGCTAGTGCCAGTGGCACGTGGCTGTATCCCCCCCCGTCCCCACCGAGGGCTGGGGAGGACGCTGGCACAGCCGGCTGGGGCGGCGTGGGGCGTTTGTGTTCCCGGCCATGAAAGGGGCCGGGGGAGTCTTGGCCGGCAGCGGCTGTTCCCCACAGCGAGCAGCTGGCAGAGGCTCGGCCATCCCCAACTTTAAGCCTCCCGGTCCAGCCGCCCACCGGGGCTATCCTCGTCCCCCCCCAAATGCACCCCATGCCGGGGGGGCGGCAAGGCCACACACATCCCCAGAGCATCCCTCTCGTAGGCAGCTCCTCCCTGCCTCAGTTTCCCTACCCATAAGATGAAGCTGGTGGTAATTTCCCAGCAGGAAAAGACGGATCCAGCCCTGCACAGAGACTCCCACCGAGGCTGGGTGATTCTGCAGGGACCATCCCAGCCTTGTCCCCAACCTTGTCACCACCCACAGCCTCGTGTCCCCCCATGTTACGGGGCCAGGCTGCGGCCAGATGGCTCCACATTCCCTTTACTCCCATAAATAACCGACGCAGGCTCAACGCGGCGTGGGGGAGCCCCGGTGGCCACCCGGACACCATCCACCTGGGGCGGCCAGGCAGCGAGCCCGCTCGCCTGGCAGCCCTTCCTCGCCCGCTGCTGGCCAGGGGGCTGCAGGCAGCGCCGCAGGCAGGGGAGCAGGCAGGGGCAGGTAGGTGAGGGTGGCTGTTTGCATCTCTAATCCCTTGCAGCAAGCGCTTTCCTCTGAGATTACTGGGGATTACAGGCTCGAGTGCTCCAGGAGCTCAGCCCTGTCTCTCCCTGCCCTTCAAGGAGCAGCGCTGAGCCCCACGGGACACGGGAGGGCAGGCCAGGCACTGCTGAGATGAGCTGGGTGTTCTCAGCCATGCCGGCGGGCACAGCCTGGAGCAGCTGCCGGCTTGCCAGGGCCTGGCTCCAGGAGCCCGGTGCCCACAGAGGCTGGCGAGCTGCAGCCCGGGCTTTAAATAGAGCATTAAAAGCTGAAGGGATCAGCTGCGGAGTGGCAGGGGGGATGCAAGGGGCTGCATTTTTCTTGGCCGGGGGGATGATGCAAGGGGAGCGACGGTGGCACAGAGGGAGGCCGGAGCCGCTTGAGGTCCCTGAGGTCCCTGAGGCACCCCGGCCTCCCTCGCCCCAGCTGGCAGCAGCGTTATCAGGTCCCGGCACGGCAGGGCTGAGAAGCCACCGCGAGCCGCTAACGGGGACCAGAGCTCTATAATTACCATGGGAGGCTGAGTTATTTTGGGAAGTGGCTACGACGCTGCCAAAGCTTTTATTCCTCCAAACCAAAACAAGATGGAAAGAGCCCAGCCCAGGATGCTGCATCCGGCGGGCGCGGGGAGGTTAACCCCTTGCCTCCTCGCTGCCCA